AAAAAAAAAAAGAAAAAGAGAGAGAGAGAAAGAATTAAAAAGAAAATAAAAAAACCTCCAACACCAAACCACCCGCTTATCTTTGCTAGAAAGATTAAAGCGGATCTAGTACAACTCTGCAACCGGAGGGAAAGAGTTTTCTGGTCGCTGTCTCCCACCCCCTCACCCCCTCCCCGGCCGGTGATTACAGACAATGTCTGCTCAGAAAAATCCGAGCGCAAAAATGGGTAAAAGATGTTGGGCTCTTATGGGGAATTTTTCCAAATAGCCCTTTTAAACGTGGGTCCCAGAGGTTAAGCAAACAAAGACAGTCTGGGCTGGACCACACCGAAGAGGATTTTAGCCTGACTTAACCCCTATGAGAGCGGGGTCTTGTTCAATTTTATGGGAATTTCAACAAGTAACAAATACAGGCGACCCTCAGCCCTGGGTCCCCTCCCGCCCCCTCGCTGGGCTCCTGTCAATCATTCTCGTGTCCCCTGCGAGCGCCGCAGCCTGCCCTGGCCGCCCCTCAGCCCGCTGTGCCGCGGGGAGAGCAGCGCCGTGAGAGTCCTCTCGCCGCCACCGCACAAGGGACGGGGGCTGTCAGGGCACAGACAACGAGCGGTTGCAAACTTTCCCCCCTTAACAACAAAAGAGGCGAACCTCTAAAGAGCCCTGATGCGCCTTCTGGGCAGAGGCGGCCCCGGAGCGGGTCGCGTCTCTCCGGCTTTTCCGCGCAGGGAGAAAGCGGACGGGATGTCCCCAGCCGGGCTCCCCTGTGCCCACAGGGCTCTGCTGCTCAGGCTCAAACCAACTTTTCGGAGCCATAGGGAATCCTTCCACGTGATTTTTGGAGCCGGGGCGAGAGGCCGGCGGGTTCACAGGGGCATCCCCGCCGGACTACGTACCTTCTCCGTTAGGAATTTCTGCTTTGGTTTGTTGTTTTTGCTTGGATTTTTGTTTTCTTTTCTTTTTCTTTCTTTGGATCTTTCCCCCCTCTGTTTGTTTTACTATTTGCGGCCGCACAGTTCGCCACGCAGGGCCCATGGGGCCACGCGTGGTGCAGGAGTGGGGCTGGCCCGGGCAGCGGGGCTGGGAGGCAGCTGCCCCCTCCTCCTGCCAGACACCTGAGGTAAGAAAGCTGATTCCTGGAAGAGAATTTTTCATTTTCATCCAGAAACAGCCCGAGAATACCTCTACAAAACAAAAAGCAGAGGGAGAGGCAGCGAGGGTTCTGGTCTTCCCTGAGTTCCACTGCGGTTTCCGAGGCCGGGCGGTTTAAATCCGAATTGTTTCTGTTCAAGGACGGATACAGACTCATACGAACCGCTGGACTCTGTCTTAATGTCGACCACCAGCGTCCGTTTCCAGCAGCTCAGATTTAATGCAATTACTTTGCAAAACGGTGTTTCTCCGCTTATTTTCTACAACTTCAGTATGTGGGCCCAAGGCTTTAGTGCAAATCATATGCAGTCCTTGATTAACTGGACAAAAAAATCAGACCAAATTATTTATTTCATTTTATTTTTTAATTTTGTTTTTAGTAGATCCAGTCCTCATTTGTACACGATAAGTAAAATCTCTGTAGCACAAATATTTCAGAAGAGTGAAAGGAGATGGGAAAAAGGATCCGAGCTCTTTTATTTGTACTTAAAGTCAGCAATAATCTTTCCCCTGCTGTCCCCGCGAAAGCAGTAGCAAGTGAAATTCTCCTTTCCCTTTCTCTTAGTGAAATGTAAAGCAAATTCAGTGGCTAATCGCTGTTGGTCGGTCAATAATTCTCTACCCATGATAGCGTCAGGGAGGACTTAAAACCGTGAATTTATATCAGACTCAAGAATAAGAGAGGTAAAAATTGGAAACAGGAGGCTTGGTTCTGCTAAAAGGATTTTGAAGCTGGGGGGCGGGGGGAGCTGGATTTTTTTCGCAGACTATTAAATCCTGCTAAATGATTGAATCAGGATTGTAATAAAGTGCCCCAGTTTATGGTGAGCATACCAGCAGGGTTATTAGAAAGCCGAGGAAATCCAGCGAAATAATCACTTTTATAAAGTGAGCTCTGCGGGGTGAAGGAGGGGACAGCGCCGGAGGAGAGCGGGCTGTGCGCGCCGCCGGCCGGCGCTGCCAAAGGGTTCGGCTCCGCCATCCCGAGGAAAACCGGGGACCTTTCCCTCCTGTTTCTTTTTCTTTCCTTTTTTTTTTTTCCTTACACACTCACTCTCCTGCTCTTTCTTTTGCTGTTTTTTTTCCTCCTCGCCTTTTCTTTTTTTTCCCCTTGACCCTCGGTCACATTTGACAGGATCCCGCTAGCCGAGTTTGACATCCACACGCCAAACCCAAACCCTCTCTGGCTCTGCCCTGCGGGCCTTGCTCGGGCAGTGCTCCCCTCCCCTCCGGATCCAGCAGGAATCCTGCCAGACCAGGGATCCCAGCACCGTCCTAAGGCTCGGGGTTGGGCCTGGGGTGGCGTGTCCCATGCGGTCCCCGAAAGGCTGCCTTGGGCTTGGGAAATCACAATGGGAATTTGCGAGGTCATTTGCATGTCGGTGCCACGGATGTACTCGGCTTGTTGTTGTTGATGAACCGTAGGGTGTATCTTGTGTTTATGAAAGCGCACACGCGAAAAGGCGTGAACGCTCTTACACACACATACACATAAATAAATACATACTGTATCAACACACAAACGGATCCTGACTGGAATTCAACCTGCAGCCGCTCAAGTCAGAAGCAAAATCTTCCCAGGAACGGGGTAGGGAGCGGGAAGAGAGAGGAAAGGTGGGAATCGGGTTCAAATGGCTGTGGTGAGCGCAGGAAAACATGCAAGCGGCATCGCCTTCTCTTTCCCTCTCACACACACACACAAAACACACTCTCCCTTATCCACCCCCACGCGGGGGCTGCGCTACCCCTCCGCGCTGATGAGTACCGAGGCAGAAGGCAGACAGAAGCAGCGCGTGTGTGCCCCCGCAGGAGGGATGCCCGCGAGGCCGGGATGCGGCCGGGCACGTGTCCGTGGGCATCCCCCTCCGCATGCCTTCCTCTCCTCAGCCTGCGTGCCGCACTGCCGTGCGGTCTGGAACGGGCTCGGGGCTCCTACGGGCACGGCCGCAGCTCCGAGCCGACCTGCAGGCGATGGGGGCTCCGCGGAATGCCCTTCTCCTCCTCGCTGGGGCAATGGAACCCCCGGGCTCTCTGCCCCGCAGCACGTCAGGCGCTGCCCCTGGGGGAGCGTCCAAGTCCTCCACCAGGAAAGGCAAAGACGAGTTACCAAACCTTGGTGACTCCTGGGCGTGAGGGAGCGGTGTGCCAGCTCTGTGCAGGCAGCCTCTCCTCCCTGGGGTGAGGGAGGAAGGACTGCTCCACCCGGGCAAAGCTCTCCGACTTCTGAGCAGCTCTTGTTATTTCCTTCTCTTGCAGTGGGACTGCCTCGCTACCAGCATCATCCCTCCCCGGTGTGTGACAGGAAAGATTTTGTCCTCAATTTTAATGGCATTTCTTCGTTTCACCCGTCCGCTAGTGGATCTTACTACCACCACCACCACCACCAAAGCGTCTGCCAAGACATCAAGCCCTGCGTGATGTGAAGGCCGCGCCCCAACAGAGACAATCAGGTGTCACCGAACAGAGCCGAGGTGTAGACGGAGCCACGCAGATTAAATATAATGTGCACTCTGGTAGCATTGGTAGTACACGAGTCACTTAGCGAATTTGCCTAAGGAAGCAGTGTTTTCCGTCCCACTCCACGCCCCGAAGGACACGTACAGCCGGTATAGTGCTCCAAAGGTCTTACTAAAAGAAAAATGCCTTGTGTGATGTTTTGGCTTAGGGGGGACCTAAGTGTCCTTATGCCAAGTCTGACCACCTTAATCACAAATCGCCTTTCTGCCATCTCCCAAAGAAACGAGCTTTGGGAAAGGGAACAATTCGACATGTTTTTATACGAGAAAGTGTCTTTGCATAAGAAAAGTAAATGTCTCCGCACCTGCGAGGACTCCCCCTTCTGTTACTGCGTTAGCGGGAAATGTACTTTTTTATTGTGTTCTCTCCCCGAGCCCCACCAAGGACACTTTGTATGGACTTCAGCACCGACCAATTGATATTATTAAATCAGTATTGTTTAGCCCTTTCGTGTATAGACTGTAAGAAAAGTTCAATTTTTTTCCAGTATTGCAGCAATACAACGTTTTGTTTTTTATTTTTACAAAAGTTGTTTTCTACCACAATATTTTTGAAAAAAATATTTTAAATAAATCTCGTGTATACTCACACACTATTGCTTTAAAAGGAGAATATATTTGCACTTATGTATACTTTTTACAGTTTGCCAAAATATTTTGATGTAAAAATTTTTTTTCCAATAAAATGTATATAACGACTATCACTAGACAGGCGTTTCTTTTCCCTTGGCTCCTTCTGAGAAAAATCTTCCACTCCGGCATCCGAGAGAGTTGAGGATGTAACCCCAAATCCTCCAGTCACTGCAGGCGGAGGAGGACAGCGAGGCCAGTGCCACGCTCTCCGGGCCTCACTTCCCGCCGTCACCCACTTCCCACCCTGCTTTCCACAGCTGCTGGATAGGCTTTGGAATAACCGAGGCAGAGGACACAAAAGCAGGAGGGTTGGGAGTGCACGATCCTCTTTTGGAGGGCGCCTCCAGGTCTGAAACGCCCACCCCGCTCTCTGGGGATGCGTCTGGGTGTCCCCGTGTCCCCTTTCCTCATAGCGCCCTCGGAGTCCCTTTGTGCCCGAGGGGACTTTTGCAGCAGCCGCTGTGCGATGCGGGCTTGGACCCGGGAGGGCAGGTCACGGGTGGGGGCGGCGATAAAACCGTGGCTTGATAAGGTCTGGGGCAAGCACCCACCAAGGTGAAGGCAGAGAACCGGGCCAGAGGGGAGAAAAATAGAAAATAAAAGTACAAAAGAAAACAAAAAGAGGCCTCTCAAGCACCCCAGGCGAGNGGAGGGCTCGCGGTGAGGGGGGAGTTCCTGGGGCGGGAGAAAAGCGCAGCCCTCCGCCAGGGCCGGGGGCACCCCTGGCTCCCTCACCCCACTGAAACTATTTGTCTGCTGCAAATGGTATGGAAAGTAATTAAGGTCGGCGCATGTATGAAAATTATTGACAATGTGTAAAGTTAGAAATCTCATTTGATCGGAATGTAAACTTGGGCGGGGGAGAAACCAGTCAAAAAGGTGCCGTGTGTTCAGATCTCGGGCCAAAGCGTGTTTGCCCTTATTCGCGGCTGTCAACGGGGTATGCAGAGCAGCATCGGGAGACGGGGGGGCACTTCCTACAGCCTTGCAGAGACACGATGAATCCCTACGAGGGCTGCCGCTCACATTTTTTGCTCTGGCTCTGCTGGCTGGCACTTGCGCGACCTTTACCACCGAGAAGCCTTTAGGTTGTGAGCGGGTGGAGGGCATCGCGTCCCACCCGCATCTTTTCCAGCCTTCCCTCGCAGTTCTGCCCGAGCCCCCAGCCTGACTCCTTCCCGGGAGCGCGGTGGAGCCTCCACCTGCCCGGAGCCTCCGCTCTGCTGCGCCGGCACCTCGCCTCTCCTGTGATCTCGAAACATCCCGCTCCTTATTTTACCCCGCGCCTGTCACGTTTTATTTACACCGACAGAGGATGCTCGGAGACAAAAGAGTATTTTTTTTTTTCTACGTCAAAGATGTTTTATATTTTTGGAAGGGTTGTGTTTCCTTTTAGAGAGGTGACCTATATCCTGACCGCTGTAGGGGGTTTATTTTGATGCTCCGGGAAGTTCAGTTGGAGCTGTGCAGAGATGGGAGGGGACAAAATCTTTAACATTGTCATCTGGTATAGGAAACTCAAAGTCTACGCACAAAAACACCCGGCTGGAAGTACTCGGGGGCTGACACAAAACCAGCGCTGTTGCTACAAGAGGAGCGGGTCTCTGGGCAGGTTTATTGGCTGCGGTGTCCGCGCAGCTCCGGCCGGTGGTTGAAACACCTGCGTTATTTGCAGGGCAGCCAGGTCCCCTCCATGTGTCAGAGCCCCGCATCTGAGGACCCCCCTTTGTCCAGTGTCCCACCGTCCCGAACCGCGGGACAGCACAGAAGGGCGTGCGGGACAGGGTGCCCGTGGGGCCCGGCACAGCGCCAGCGGGTCGCTGGCACAGCCCCGCAGCCCGGTGGGATTCGGCGAGTTTGAGCCCTGGGTTTCGGGAGCTCAGACGGAGCTCAGCGGGCACCTCAGGCTCGCAGGGTGTCTGAGTGCCACGGCTCCCGGGCAGCGAGGAGGCTGCTGTGGGATGCGGGCAGTCTTGGAGGGGGAGAGCTGGGGGGTTAAACGCGACAAAATCTTAGGCTTAGGTGTCCCCCGGAAAGTCTAAACTCTGAGAAACTGTTTTCCAGCCCTCTGAAGAGACCAAAAGCCTGTGACAGCAGGACCTGTCCGGAGGCGGAGGATGGGACGGGCGGCGGGGGGCGGATATTTCTCGTCCCCGGTGTTCAATGCTCGCACTTCCCCTCGGCGGGGTCCTCCGGAGGCCCGCGGAGCCCCGGTTCCCTGCGGGACGCCCCCAGGAGCCGGGTCCTGCGGGTCCAGCGTGGGAGAGTCGAGTAGAGGCTCTTCTCCCACCTGCTGAGGCCGATTTTCCCCTGGAACACACTTCCCTAAAGGCAACTAGATTCTGCCCTTCGGCTGGCTCCTCGCCCAAACCTTGTTTCCCCCCTGGTCTTTCTCTCCGTCCTCTGAGGACCGGGAGGCTGAACAGTCCTCGAACAAAGCTGCCCCGGCCCTGAGGGCTGTGGAGCAGGGAGGAAAGGCAAAGGTGAGCCCCTACGATTTTGCGATCACCACACTCGTGTAGGTGTCCTGTGCCTGGCTTAGCTTTCTGCCACATTCAGACACTGGTGAAAAATGTCTTAAGGTATCTTCACGGAAAGCCAGCCAAACCCACGTGGTGATCCCCAGGTGATCCCCTGTAAAATGCTACGAGAGGTGCCCGCTCTGTGCAAGGAGAGTGTCTGGGGGATGCTCTTGGAGTCAGGCTTATTTTTGGGGTTTTTTCCCAACACGGGAAAAAGCAATGCATTAGAGCTGAATGTCCTTGTCTGCCCTTGAGATGCGGGACGTCTCAACCCCTCGGATTGCCGTGATCATCTCCCCTTTTCCTCTGCTTCGGAAAGGAGGGAGAGACCGACACTTCAACAGGAGCTGGGAAGAAAGGTCCTGATGGCGGCCTTCAGGGAGACTTCTATAAAAAGGGTCACGCCTGCTGCCCATTGCGTATGCTAAGAAAAAAAAAAAAAAAAAAAAAAAAAGAAGGGGGGCGTTAGAAAAAAAGCGGAAAAACCTCTCNTTCCTCTGCTTCGGAAAGGAGGGAGAGACCGACACTTCAACAGGAGCTGGGAAGAAAGGTCCTGATGGCGGCCTTCAGGGAGACTTCTATAAAAAAAAAAAAACCTGCTGCCCATTGCGTATGCTAAAAAAAAAAAAAAAAAAAAAAAAAAAGGAAGGGGGGCGTTAGAAAAAAAGCGGAAAAACCTCTCTAAACAAACATCGGGATCGCACGGCTACTGCCAGAGGTCCCGAGAAGTCAAGAGGTCCCGGGAGCAGCACAAAGGACGGGACAGGACCGCTGGGAGTCCCTTCCCATGCTGGCCCTTTTGCTCCCTGCGCCGCGGTGGGATTGCCCCCCTCCACACCCTCCAGGTGGTGCCCCCGGGCTCCCGGAGCCGGGAATTGGGCGCTGCACTGCGGCAGCAAGGCTGCTTCCATCTCGTTAAAATGCCCGCATGCCCCTCATGCGGAAAGGGATCTCTGTCAGCCGCTGCAGATCGAGATCTAAATCCAGGCACCCTGAAACTGACAGTTGGAGGAAAATCCTCCAGGGCTTAAGGAAACGCACTTTTACAATACTGGAGGGATTTGTTTAAGTTTCAGTCTCGGCTTTAATTGAAAAAACGCTTCTCATCTGCAGAACCTCAGAGGAGAGGAAAGAGCCTGAAGCACACAGTTAAAAAAGGGAGGAAAAGACAGAAAAAGAACAAAAAGAGGCGGGGGGGGGGGAGGAAAGAACTCCAACATAACCGTAAACATTTATCTTTCATATTTGTCTTCCATTTTCTTAACTGGTTTAGTCTAACTTATTTCATTTAGCTCACGAAGCAGAAGGGACTCTGTTATGAACTTGAAACTGAAACCGCAATAATGAAGAGATTTCCTAGAATAAAAACTATGATTATACAACAACATCTGAGTAACCAAATCTGCCAAAAAGTTTAATTTCCGTATACTTTGGTAAAACAAACCAGTTGTGCTCCGAAACTAGGATCAGCTCAGAAATGGATACACCAACCAAAATAAACATCTCCACAAAACAGCAAATGCACTTCTGTTTAATCATAGGCAATTTAAATCATCTTTTAAAGTATCGGGATCATGTCTTGGAGACTTTTTAATGCTGTGCTTCAAACAAGTATCTGCTGCGAGGAAGAGGAGGTTGCTGACAGGTAGAGGATTGAATGTGTTAGCCCCGATATCAGAGCCGTGTCAAGTCAGGATGGAAGCAGCATTCGGCCGTGCCACCGGGCTGCCTCTCCTGGCTTTGCTCTGCTGCCTGTCCCGTCCCTCACCGCCGAGACACCAGTGACACCCCGATACATCGTGACACCTTGTGCTGAGTGTAAAAGATTTTTCTCGCTCGACTAAAAGTAATGCTCCAAACGAACAGTCTGAATCGGAGGCAGGTTAGAGTGATTTACAGGCGATGATCCTCCCCCCTGCCTTTAATTCCTTTGGTCTCCTGAAGATTGCAGAGATTACTTCAGCGCGTCATCCGAAGATGACATTTAGACAGAAATCCCGCCGAGGAAGGTGGAAAAGCACCCTCGCTCACCGAACATCTTTCCTAGAGCAAGGAAAGATGTTTTTATATAAAACCACAGATATTAAAAAAAAAGGGGGGAAAAAAGGCAAAATATGTCCTTACAACGAGATCAGGAATCTCACATCGGCCTCCCTGTCTTTCTAGGGAACAACAGGAAAAAAAAAAGATAAGAAGACAGATGGGCTGATAGAATTTTTCTTTTTTTTGTAATTATGGGAACAATCTAAATCGATGCCTTAGGAAAGGTAAACATGGGTCTATGGACCGACCTATTATTTTTTCTATTAAAATGTGTCATAAACATAGCAGGGCTTGGTAGTGTTTTTCTTAGCTTATCCTCAGATACAATCAAGCCATTTTCGGACACATTCCCATGTATGTAGCAGTGGTGATCTGGAGGAAGCTGTCGACGCCTGTTCAGTTAATTTAGGTTTTCTTTGTCTAATTACTGTGGAGCTTAGGGAAAAGGAGCTGGGCTCAGGGCAGTAAACTGACACTTGGGCTCTGTGTG